GCGAGAGCAATAACAACACCACAGGACTAAGGATTCATAGCATTTACAGGATACAGCACAGAGAGGCGCCCATTCACACCGTCCATAGAAAACAGATGCCCGCTGTTTACATAAACACATTGGATTGCCACACACAAGCTGCGCGTGTGCGTGTGTGTGTGTGTGCGATCGTTAGAGTGTGTTGCATACTTTTGGTCAGCTTGATTCAGTTGCAGAGACACTCAGCGAAAAAAGGGTGCACAAATTATGAAAACCTGACAAGACTTTTAACCCAAACCAAAAAAAGAAAGATGAAGGAGAAATAATCAAAATGTTTGCTTTCATTTAAGATTTTTTTGGCATAAATAGTGATATCTTGAAAGCTTGAAGGGCTATTTATATTTGTATAAATGTTTTACGTGATTCAAGAAGTTAAAAAAGGATATGACATTTTCAAAATGAATAGTTTACAGATTTAGTAATAAAGCTTTTATATGAAAAATAAATTAATAAGAGTTTCTTTTTTTTTTTGTGTTACCACCTTCAAATTATTTCAGACTAGGTTTTATTGAGTTTCATATATAGTTAGCTATTGGAATTCAAACATTTTTTTTTTACAATTTCATTTTGTCTAAATACAAATTCCCCTTAGAGCTCTTTATGTTGTTTTCTTTCTACTCTATTCTAACCATATTTTTCTCTCCGTGCATAAGCTCTGCTTTGGGCTCTATTCGCAGCTAATGCGTCTCCTGTGCGGGCCATGTCAATCGATGTTAATTTATTGTCAATGCGCATTTACCGAATGTGTGGCATTTGTGACACAAATACCAACTGAGCAGCCACTATGTGTGCATGTGCGTGTGTGTGCACGTATTTGAGTATAATAGTATGGTGTGCAGACTGTAGCTGGCTTTTGCTGGAACACGTGCGCCATGTGCCCGTTATTAATCAACAAGGAGCTGCATATGCCACATGCAGCGAGGCAGCCGCAGCAGCAGAAGCAGAGGCAGAGGCAGTTGCAACGTGCCAGAAATGTTGCTGCCGCTGTGACTGTAAATGCAATGCAATGCGGCTTATTACGGCAACAGCAGCAACAACAACAAGAAGAACACAAATTACAACATTCAGCAGCAGCAGCAGCAGGGACAGCATTTGCTGCAGCTGGACCAATGCCTGCCGCATTGTGTGTCAGGTTGGCTTTGAGCTATGCTGATATTTGCATATTTGCTGAGCTGCAACAAAATCTCATTATCCTGTTGACACGCCTCGAAAATGGCCGCCAAACTCTCTCGATGGCTGTGAAACATGTGTTAAATGTGACACAGCAGCGGCGGCAAGAGGCAGCCCCGCAGGCAATCATAAATCATGCGGCATATGCGTTGATTAACTTGGCTTCCACTGATTAATCTAAAACAACTATGTGAAATGACACATTAGGCTGCCGAAAATGTATCATAATTTATAAACAGACGCAGCGGCACCAGACAGCACGAGCCAAAGGACTTGGCGAAAGCATTTCATTGTATATCATTAATTATACAGTTAAAGGACAAATGCCACGGCCTGAAATAAGGACACGGGCCTGAGCTAAGCGTGAAAGCGCTGGAACTTTTGCATTATGTAAGAAGTTTGACTATGGAACATACTCAAGCACTTGATATCTTGATATATGTTTTTAAAATATTCTAAATTCGTTCGTTCATCTTTTTCTCCTTCTTTCTCAGTTACTCGACGTTTAGAGGGAAAAAGATAAAGGGCGAAGGAGGTAGCTTTTTTCCATTGCCTTCTCTTTAAATATGCGCCTTTCTATGCGCTTCTCAGGATTTCTCACTCGGAGATAAGAAAAAAAAAAAATAGAGGGAGAGCTATCCATTCCACTTACATCTCTCTAAGTACCTTCCTTCTATGCGCTTCTCAAGATCTCGAATGATCTTTGTTATGTTTTGTGTGTGTGTTCTTCAACTTATATGTATATACTACGTCAAATCAGACCTTGGTTAGGTGCATGCCCTAGTCAGGCAAGCTTGGCACAGTTGCTTTCGAGATTATGCTCATGGCGCTGAAGCGACTTTTAGCTCGTCTGATTTATGCCAAAATGAAACCCAGCGGAAAATCAAGCAGCTGACAGGCAACGTTGCTTGACATTTGAGACAGTATTTCAATATTTTCAAGCATAATTTTGGACTCGAGTATAAAAAATAGAAATAACCTAGGAATTGTTGCCTAGCAAGGTGGCTTTTCATTACTTTAAAGCAGGCATCTGCTTGCAACTTGCCGCAAATGGGGCAACGGAGCGTGTAATAAATTGCATTTGGCTGACTTCAAGTTGGCAACTGGAAGACGGGCAGCGGGTGAGCGGGACTGTCAGCTCATATACACATGAGAGGCGACGTTGGCGTTTGTCAGTTGCATAAAAATGCCAACTCATACGAGGCAGGACATGCCAACTCAGCCAGGACATGCAGCGCCGCAACGGAAATGGCGCAGAAAGAAAGCGTCAGAGCTGAGGCGGCAAGGGGAAATTAGAAAATGCCACAGTGCGAAAATACAGAACAGCAGGAGGGCAGAGCAAAAGAAACACTTCGAGCTAGCGACAGCGAGAGATAGAGAGAGAGAGATGGAGTGTGTGTGTGTGACAGACAGTTAGCTGGACTGACACACGCTTTGGGTAGAGCTTTTGCTTTGGCCAAGGCTCAACAACAACAACAAGCACAGACAAGTTTTTGGCAACAGTTTTGGCTCGTTTTATTTTGTTTTTGGCCCAATCTGAGCGCTGAAACAAATAGCCAAATATGCCACATATTCAACTCCTTTTTCCGGGCCGTGCGCTTATGCAAATCCATGCGACGGACATTGGGACAGGACATTTCGTGTTGATTTAGTAACAGGAGCAGCGGTCGGGCGACAACGTGCCCCGCATCGCTGAGAGATTGAATTACGCGCCTTGCTTTAATTTCATTTGCACGGCTTTTATTTAATTCTATTTTTCATACAACTTTTATTTGTGTTAGCAGCCCTTTCTTTGAGTTGAGAGTTTAGAGAGTTGAAGCGCAAAAATAAAAATGGCAAAAAGCGCGATGGCGACATTGGCAGAATGTTTAATTAAATTCGAGCGGGGCAATAGAAAGGAAATCGGAAACCGAAAAAGAATTTAATTAAACTTTATACACAGCTATTTTTTTTATTTTTTGTTTTGTTTGTTGCTGTGCAAAACGAAATGAGGGCTGCGCCGGGCGAATGACAGCGCAACGTATTTTAATTATTTTTTGTTTTTGCGTGTGTGTGTGTGTGTGCGTAGGAGTGTGTGAGCGTGAAAAAGTGTGTGAGCGTGAAAAAGTGTGTGTGTGCGTGCGCACTAAAAACAAATCAAAAAAGTCTGCGTCAACAATTGACGCAGCTTCTGTGTGTGTGTGTGTGTGCGTGCGTGTGAGTGTGTATGTGTATTAACCATGTATGTATGTCGAGCAGCGGCTGTCAAAAAACTTTCAAACAAAATGTCGCTCACATGTCAGAAACACACACACACACACACACATACACACACAGAGGCACAACACAAGTGGCAGGCCGTGCGCCTGTGTCTAACAACAACAAGAACAAATCATGTATTTGCTGCATTAACATTTTATGCGCATAAACAAATGTGTTTTCAACGCCAACATTTTATTATGAAAGCTGCCACTTCAGGCCAAAAACGTGCACATTTTACACCTCTCGTTTTGTTTAAACTTAGACACAGGCCATCACGATTTTGTTCTCAAGTTTCTGATATATGTGTGTGTGTGTGTGTGTGTGTGTGTGTAAAAAAGGCAGCAAAAGAACTTCCTGTGCGCTCTTTGAATGGATTCAATTGCTTTGTTGGCCAAAAAGGAATCTAGCTAGAGTCGAAGTTTTAAATATTTTATTCTGCTAAAACTATTGGAAACTTTTAACATGCTACTAGTTAGACTAATAATATATTATTGTTATTATATTGATTCCCTGCATACCTAAATACATGCCTTATGCATACTTGACAGCTGTATAGCTTAACTACAGCTGAAATTGGCTTTTAAATATAAGCATTGAGTTTCTTAGTGATAAAGACTAGGTGCAAATCGTAAATATATATACTTATACATTATATAATACATTTTGTATTATGTGTTAAATGTTCATTGCATTTGCATATTTGATGAATTAAACGAAGATGTTGAATACACAATTAACTCAAGCGCATAATAATCATAACATTGTGAAAAACTTTCCAGCACTTCGTAGATCAAAAACTAACTAGATTTCAAAAGTAAATCCCTTTTACCATCTACAAATTTACTGGGCATCAACATGGATCACATTTTGCTGGCTAAAATCCAAAATTCAAACCTCAATGTACAGCAATTGTTTTAAATTGTTGCTATGCTAATATTTAACATTTTTGTTTATATTTATTCAAATATTTTAGACAGAGAATATCAGCTCTTTGGTATATTAAAATTTGCATATTTTGCTTTGGTTTCACGCACATAATTTTGCCTGCTGTTAAATGAAAAGCATAAAACGCGTTTTTTGGCGCCACGCCCGAGAATTATGCCATAAAAAAGTAGTCAAAAAACAGGCAGCTGTGTACATATATAAAAAAGGGGTGTACGTGTGTGTGTGTGTGAGTGGGTGTGCCTCAAATGTTAAAACTGACCGCTTACTTGCATAACAATAAGTTTTTCATAGCCTGTGTACAAATGGGATTTTAATATGCGCACAACTTCATGAAATATGCAAATGCAATAAAAAACAGGAAAACAAAATGAAAATACATTTAATAATAATAGACGGAAATGAAGTACGGCTCCTCTGTATGTATGTATACGTATGTATGTGTATGTAACTTTTATCAATGGCTGCTCATCGAAATGTAAAACTTGCCAAATCAGCTCTTTGAGCAACACTTTTTTGACCCAGATCAAGATTAGACTCCAACGAGTTGCCCAATTTAATTCATTTGAATTCGGCATCGAGATTTGAATTTGGAAATTGAAACTTACCCCGCCACGTCCGCCGGAGCCTTCATCGTCATCGATATAAATTTCATCTCGGTTCGCTGATGTGGAGGATACGGATGCGGGTGCTGTCGCCGACGGTTTCACAGATTTCTGTAAATAAAGAAATAAAGTCAGAAAAAAAAAAACAAGAACGAAACGGAAAAATTCGCATCAAACATGACGAAAACTTGTTTTTAGTTTGCAGCAAATTCCAAGTTTTTCTTTGTCTTCTTTTTCTACACATATATATATATATATATATACTACATGGAAATATTTGCATTTCATTAATTAAAGTAGGAAAACGAGATTTATATTGTCATTTGCTGGACCTATATTGAATATGTTTGTGAAAGGCCTGCGGAAAAGCAGCATTGACCACTTTTTATAGATTTTTTCCTCGACTCACGCTTTGGGCTGGCCGCAAACAATTTACCTGTCACCGCAAAAAACAATTAATTAAGAACAATGCAAATGCAGCAACAATAAGAGCAACAACAACAACAACAACAAAAACAACAACAATTGTTTAACAAATGCATTTTTAATGATGCAACTGAAAAAATCTATAAAAAATGCTCATTGCAAGCAACGCAGATGGCGCGCAATGAAAAAAATAGCTTTATTTAATGTGCTTTTGAGAATGTTCGACGAGCAGATATCCTGTATGTAGTAGCCTGATGAAATAGATTGATTAAAATATAAAATATAATATGAAAAAAATATATACTGTATAAATATATATCACTTCTGGAATTTCCTTCCATCTAGAATCTTAAGCTTTTCAGATTAATCAGACAGTTACTTATTATCTTTTAACTCTATATATTTCATATTGCAACATCCCAACTGCTATTTCCAATTGCAAGTCTATATACCCTTTATCACTTATTATGCTACAGGATGGTCACCCGCTTTTAGGGCTACAGGGTATTTTAGGGCACCATTAACAGCTGCTGGCTGCATAATTAATGCTTCCCTGTTCGGGCCGGGACCTGTGCAGCTCTCATTAGGGTCACGACTTGAGCAAAGTTTGTGACTGTGCAAGCCAAAAAAGTGAAGGCATGAATTTATCATAGCATAAACCAATTTTTATAATCCCCTTTTGGGCAAGTTTAAACATTCAACGCGCTGCATTGCAGATTAGCAAAAGTCATAGTTTTAGCAGACGCAACCACTAGAAGAATAACCGCCGGCTCTAACCGCTGCGTGTGGTGGGGTGGGGTGAGGTGGAGTCACACACTGCCCCACCTGACATTGTCATTCATTCACGTTTTGGCTCATAGGTGTGAATAACCGCGCACTCGCTGCAAAATGAATAAAGCAACAAAAAAAAAGGGAAGAAATAATAAAAACCTCAGATAAACACTTCATCTTCAGCTGCAGCTTTGTGGCTGGGTGGGTTCGGCTTGACTCGAGTTGAGTTGCCAAGTTTTGCATTTGGCTCCGGAAGAGCAGGGGACAGGCCCAGGACAGGCTCAGGACAGGCCCAGGACAGACCGGGACAGGTCGGGACAGGCGACTTTTGCATTATTACGGAACCTTGTTGCTTGGCGGCTCTTGTGAAGTTTCTCCGTGTGTGTTAGTGTGTGTAGGCAAAAGTTGAATGGCTTGCAAAATGCATTTACCGTGTCTTTGGCCTCACAACGAACTGCATTTACTCATTTATTTATTATTATGTTGGGTTTTCGTAACAGACTTAAAAGTTTGGTCCTTCATTACGAACATACTTTGTGGGACTGATCAACGCGACGCAACTCAATAGCTGGAGGTAAGTCAGTAAATACTTTAAGGAAGCAGGAAAGCGAAAAGTTATCTTAAAGAAACACAGAAAGCTGCCAGAACCAAACTAAGAAGCAAAACTAACCGAGAAGTTAAGTGAGGAAAAAGAAAAAACAGGCCTCAAAAAGAGAGACAAGCTAAGGGAGAAGATCGAAGCGAACTGAGCAAAGGCAAATTAAATGCAATGGAATAAGGAAAATTCAAGAACCAACCAGAAAGGCGAACTGACCAATTTGAGAATCAAAGTGAAGAAAGCGAGACGAAATGCGAGTTGAGACGAAAGGTAAGATTCAAACGGAAAAAAACTGGAGAAGCTAAGTGACAAATAATGAAAGCAGAAAATTGTAAAATTAAGTGAGAAGCTAATGGAAATCGACGTGAAAACGAGGTGTAAACGATATCAAGCTGAAAAGCAATGTGAAAATGGAAAACATTCAAAGAGGGAAAGCGAATCAAAGGAATATCGATGCCAAGGACACACGTCCAAAGACAAAAGTGAAATGCACACTCACGCTTTACGCAAGAAATGTATGGGATTCCCATTTAAAAGTCCTGAAATTCATTACGATTCCCTTAGCTATCCGTTTTCTAATTCTACATTTTATGTGCAAATGAAATTGACTTCTCGTTTAACTTCTTCGCTTCACTTTGCTATAAAATAGTTGGAAACCATTTGAAGCATGTGCACAAAAAAGAAAAAAAATAGTTGAAGTAAATTGGTAACAACTTTTCCAACAGTTTTTTTTGTAATTTTCGCCATTGGGGAGCAGAAAAATGTTTGTCAAATTTGTAACGTTTATGCAGTGTGTGCCGAGTTAGTTTTGGGTGGGACTGGTCCCAAAGGAATTCCTCCGGATGTGTTGCCCCAGCATATTTCGCATATTTTTCATATGAATTTTTCTATATGAATTTTAACTGGCAACAATTTGTCAAAGTAAAACATAGATGAGTGGGGGCGGGGAGGGGTCTGAAATTGAAATGCAATTGTGCCGGGCAACAGCAGCAGCAACAAAATAAAGCGACGCAAAATATTGTTTGGCACTTTTTGACAAATATAAATACGAAAAAGAACAAAACAAAAATAGAGGAAAACAACAGTTTGTGACCGTTTTTTTTTTTCGTTTAAGTGGGGACTAAAAATGAAGCCCCAACCAGGCGATAAATCAATACAAATATTGACAGTTTTACAGTTGCTACATATGTGCATGGGCGGGGCTGGGCGTGAATATGTATGCATAAATATATAAATAAAGACATTTTTTATGTACCCGGAATAATATTAATTTTGCTTGCTCTAAAGCTGCGCAAAGAAAACAAATAATTTCATTTTCTTTTCCCCAATTGACGAATATTAAAAAGCGTGGCAAGTTTTGACTTTTTTGTGGGTTATTTGCGATGGTTTTTTCCAAGCATATTACAATTACCTTTACCTTTTTATGTTAAAAAAAAGAGAAAGGCGAAAATGTGTAATTTTTAATTTAATATGGGATTAATATGGAACTTTTATTGCGTTTTGAGCTTAAATTAAATAATAGGTCAGTCGCAGCCAACTTAATACGCACATAAGCCAAGTTGGCGTTGCCAGATAACCTAAAGCTGTTGTTTAATGAAATAAGTAAATTCAACTTTATAGCGCACCGCAATGCAATATCGTATCATGCAGTAAACTTTCTTAGTATATAAAATATATTTCTTCGACGCTTTTGAGCCGATCGACCTCTATCTGCGTATACGTATATTAATTATATGGACTATAGCTAACTTAACGGCATATTAGTTTTATTTGGCGCCGCCAGATAGTTGACAAAACAAATATTTATCAGTTTAAACAACAGCTTAAATATTATTTTGATATATTACAATATAAATTTCTAGAAAAACCGCGATTTTAATAGCTGAAAAGTGGTCAATTAATTAGTTCCACAACATTTACGTTTTGAATTAATTAATTGACAGTTCGGCATATCCGATTTGCAGGCATTTCAATTTAAGCCTTCAGGGTTTTAATCTATTCAACATAGATTTTGTCAGCCGCAAATAAATGCAGATTAGATACAAAAATGTCATGAAAGTTGCACGACAAATTGCAAACACAACAAATGAAATAAATGAAAGAAAAAAATGCATTATAAAATTGCAGGAATTTAAACAAAATAAATAAATAAATAGAATTTTTAGACTCTGCAGCTGCTGTTGCGCATTTTCGAGTGTCAGTTGCAATCGTTAAACTGTTCAAAATGAGCAACAATAGTGGAATGCAGAGAGGGGTACGTGGGGGGTAGTTAGTGGGGCGTGTCAGCTGTCAGTTGTGCAATTGAATTGAAAGCTAGGAGCGCCATTCAAGCTGTCCCAGTCAGACAGACAGACAGACAAGCAGACAAAGAGGCAGCAACGCCGACGGGCCGTCAACAGGAGCGTAACTGAGAGGCGCCGCAAAGTAGGCAATGGAATTGAATCGATTGCAAATGCAATCTGCCAGTGTACTGTGTACACTGTCCTGAGCAGTGCAAACCAAAAAGCCAAACCCCATGGCATTAGCCTCAAGGCGCACACATAATGTGGCAGGTCAGCAGCAGCAGGGTGGGGGAGGGAGAACAGAGCCCGGCATCAGCAGCAGCAGCTACTTGTCTGTGGCTGTCCTGTTAGGCTAAAACGCAGTCAAGCAGCTGGCATATGCCAAAAAAATATACATAAATAAAATATAAATACGTCGACACTTTGCCAACTCGTTATACATTTTCATTAGGGCGTATGTCTGTCTGCCACGCCCACTCACTCCTTGACCGCCTGGCCATGCGTGCGTCTTGCCCATTCAGGTGTGTGTTTGTGTGTGTGTTTGTGTTGAGGGTAACTGTTTTGGCCTCTGGGCTTCAGCAAATAAAAGCAAATCAAAACTTATTATGCTACGCACACACATGTGCGTGTGTGTGCCTTTGGGTAGGCTTTGTGCACAATCTGTGACTGTGCGTGTGCGTGTGTGGGTGGCATGTGTGTCACACTGGGGAAAACTTTTATGTTTATAGTAGCTATAAAAACAAGAGAAGAAGAAGAAAAAATGAGACCTGATGGCCATTTTCCGCTCGAATTTGTGCATAAAACTAATTGAACAGCAAAATTATTTCATACCTCGAGGGGCAGATAAATATGCAACAACAACAACAACAACAATGACAACGACAACGACAATACCATAATTTAATTTATGCAATGGCTGCTAATGATCAACAAATATTTAGATCAAAATATAAACAATGCAATTAGACTAAATTATTGGCACCGAAAATGTGAAAAGGGTGTGGGGTAGGCGTTGCGTTTTACTAAACACAAAT